CCCCGAACCACGGTGACTGCCCCCCAGAGGTCCCCATGGTCTATCCACCTCTCTGCAGCCAGAGCGACCTTCCTGAAACAAGCCTACAGTGGCACCCCGGCTTCTGAGGCCCTCTGCCTTGTGGTCCCTCCTCCCACCTGGCCTCACACCCTCCCCCAACTGTCACTGGGCACCTGAGAACTGCAGAAGTCCCCACCCCCCAGCCCAGGCGAGGTTTTCTTCCATGTGGACTGAGCGCCCAGCACCCATGGCCCATCTCAGAGCCTTTATCCCATATGGCAGGTGTAACAGTCCCTCATTGCTGCAGTAACACATTACGGCAAGCCTCATGGCTTAACAACACACAGGTGTTCTCTTGCAGCAAGTCAGAAGTCCAAAATCAGCCTCCCTGGGCTAAAGTCAAGGTGTCAGCAGGACTGGTTGCTTCCGGAGGCTCATCGTTCCACCAACGTAGTCAGGCCATTATGCAGGAGGCAAGGTTCAATCCGTGCTTTCAGAGTGTAAGAAGGTGGATGGGTCTTTATTCTCCTAAGCCACACTGACCTCCAGTGCATTTTTTTTTTTTTCTCGTACCACCAAACAGTTCTGCGATTGTCCATGGATACTGACCAGGTGTCCCACAGATTTAACTCAATTCTGACACCCTGTATCTGGAGATAGCATCAGATCCCACAAGGTAAGGGCTCAGTCCTACAAGATTACCCGCCCCTCCAGTCCCAAGTCCCACATTGTCCCCTGGGCTTTCGACCCACTGGCTATGGATCAGAGGTTCCCATGCCCCCCTCCTTGGGTGTGATCGATTTGCTAAAGCGGTTCACAGAACTCAGAGAAGCACTGACTTACATTTACCAGTTTATTATAAGGGATAAAACTCAGGAACAGCCAAGTGGAAGAGATGCATTGGGCAAGGTGTGGGGGAAAGGGCTCGGAGCTTCCATGCCCTCCAAGCACACCCCCTTCTTGAATCTCCTTGTGGTCACCAACCCGGCAGCTCATCCTCTCCTGCTGTTTGACAATCTCTATGGAGCTTAATCTGTGGCCACCACGCCCCCTTCCCATTTCCAGGAGGTCTGTGTCTGGGTCTGAATGTTCCTACCGTTTAATCACTCAGGCTTTCTGGTGGCCAGCCCCATCCTGAGGCAATCTAGGGGCTCCATCCTGAGTCACCCCATTAGCTTACATTCAGGTGTGCTCAGAAAGGACTCCTAATGAATGACACTCCTAATACTTGGGAAATTCCAAGGGTCTTAAGGGCTCTATGCCAGACTCAGGGGACAAAGGTCATATCTATTTCTTTTTACATCACAGACACCAACCACAGTTTTTGGCCAGAAGTTGACCATGGACTTCCCCAAAGACACCAGACATCCGCTGATGACGTGAAGCTACGTTTCTCAGACCTCTTGCAGAAAGGGAGAGTCCACCTGACAGGCTCTCAGCAGTGTCCCAACTGGGGAGATGGGGGAAGAGTACTGATAGGATTTGGGGACCCAGGCTTGCTTGCAGCCGGCAGGGAATTGGCTGGGACTGAGGAAAGTGGGCAGAGTTTTGCGCTGGGGGGCAATGGGGACCGCAGGGCCTTGAGGGCAGTCCAGACCAGGTCCCTAGTGGACACTTCCGTCAGTCCACAGTCTTACCATTCCTGGAGCAAGTCACTGAGTCATTCTTTTCTTGATCTCTGTTTAACACGAGATGGGAACGGTCTTAGTTTCAGGTTACGCTTCGAGAACAACGGCAGGGCATGAGGGCCCTGCTCGGTGCTGCCCCCACGTCCCTGCGGGCGCTGGCGAAAAGTGGGACTGCAGGGGGCAGGGAGCAGAGACATCCTCCCAGCGTGGTCCCACTGCAGGGGCCCCCCCACCCCCACTACTCCCAGGGCTGCGAGGCCTCCCTGCTCGTGGCTTGTCCCCCAGGGCTCACCGAGGCAAGTCTCTCCGAGACCCCGGCTCCTCAGGGGTCCTGTGTGGCCTGGCCTCTGACCTCCCCTGCTTCCCACTCCAGCCCGCCACGCCCACCACACAATCCTGCACTTTGTGCCCCCAGCCTGTCCCGCCGGTGGCGGAGCAGGATTTCTCCGACCTCCGCTTGCTCCGAGTCATGTGGGCCGCTTGCTACAATGCAGACTGCTGGGCCCGGTCACCTGAGAGGCTGCCGCAGCTGAGGACCAGCAGGGCCCAGGAATCCGCTGCAGTACGTGCTCGGAGTCATTCAGATTCCGAGGGTCTTCAGACCACACTCTGAGAAAGATGGGCCCAACCTCTGAGATGAACGCCCGGGTGGAAGTTCACGGAAGGCCTTCAGTTCCCAGCCCCTGCCCTGGGCCAGGGAGCCCTAGACTCCCCCAAAGGCTGTTGCTCCCCCTGCCGGTGGGCAGGGAAAATTTGCCCAGTTATTATTTTTTCTTAGGCAACTGCTCCTGGCAAAACAAAGCACAGGATAATTTCTACATTGAGTATGAATAAAACACCTGCCACTTTGAACCAGCAGGGATATCACTGAGTTATAATGGTTCCTTGCCCCCCGGGTGTCCTGCTCTTCTGGTAAAGCAGGGCCATGTGTCACACCCATCTGCCGACCCACCCCTTCTTCCTAGTGTGTCTGAGAGTGTCCGGCACGGAATGTGCTCAGGAAATATTTCCTGAGATGAAGGTGATACGGCGGCGAAAGACAAACACGCTCGCTCTGGGGCCCGCCTGGGCCACTTCTTCCTCCTTATCGCCTTCTATTCCCCAGAGGACCTGGAGCTGAAGGACCTGAGACTCAGAGAGGGGAGTTAACTGGCCCAATGTCACACAGCAAGTCAAAGCAGGGCTGGGATTTGCCCCGAGATCTGTCCAGCTCCTCGCACCTGCCTCTCCTGCAGCTCCCAGCAAGGAGCTAGCAGGGGGCATGGGGGCCCCATAGCCTCCTCCTCCTTTTTTCTTACAGACCACATCCTGTCTGGAGTCCAGGGGAAGCGGTTGCTTTCCCCTCCTCACCCCCACCTTCCCAGCCATCTGGAGCTCCAGCAGAACCCCAGAGCCGGCCAGGCATTGGCAGAAGGAGCCAGCTTCCAGAGAGACTGGGCTTAGTGGAGAGATGCATTATGCATGGGGTGTCCCCCCCCCAGCCCCCTGGGTGGATCCCCAAAGTGGGTCAGGAGCCAGCCTCACCTGTCAGCTTCTCCCCTCCTGCCCTCCCCTAGGCTCTTGCCAGCCCCAGGGCACTCACTGGTGCCTGCTCCCGCGGGCCCTGTGCTTCCTCTATACCCTCCCTGCCATCCCCATCTGGGAGGCGCCCACAAGGACCTGTTGGGCTGCCCTGCCTTCCCGGGACCAGCTGCCAGGACCCCGTCCTCCCCCACCAAAGGCCTATCACAGTCCCCAACTGCCCACCGCTCGAAGTGTGTCTTTGGGGCCTTCCAGAAGCAAGCTCACTCTAACTGAGCAGAGGAAAGACATTGCCTGGGAGGTGGGTAAGTGTGATGCCAGGCACCTTTCTCAGCCATCGTTCCCTGCACCCCGGTCCTGGTCAGCAGGGCAGACTCGGAGGGCAGATGGCCCAGGGTCAAGTCCCAGCTTTGCCACCCTCCAGCTCTGTGACCTTGGACATTCACTTAACCTCTCTGTGCTCCCAAGTGATCATGAAAACAATGGTATCTATCTCCCAGGGTCACATGTGAAGCGCTTAGAGCAGTGGCTGGCTTCTAGTAAGCCCTCGGAGAAGATGCCGTTATGGGTGTGAGGTTGCCTTATTTCTGAAAAGCTGGGCGTGCAAAGCACAGGTCTGGGTTTCCTTCCCTGCCCTGCCATTTTCCAGATGTACGACCTTAGCTGGATCCGCCCTGAGGCTCAGCTTCCTCATCTGCAACCCTCCCAGGCTTCTGTTGAGGATCGAACTCCATATTGTAATTCTCTGTGTGTCCCCTTCAGAGCCCTGGTGAGCAGTTATGTGGGACAGGTCCTGTGTGGAGCCCTGTGTCCCTGTCATCTCCTTTCCATGAGGGAGCTAGGCTTTGTGTTTCCCTTTCCCGGGGACCTTCACAACCCACAAGAGCCATTTGTTTGTTTCCAAGAGCTTCCAAAAGCTGGACACCTGACTTGGATGCCAAGAGTCCTTGAGAGAGGTCTGCAGGGGACTGATCTGGAGAGGCGGGGAAAAGGGCCCATGGGTCCCACGAGTGGGCTCCAGGAAGCGGTCAGGACTCTGTGAGGTGGCTCGAGCCAAGGATCATGCGGGCTTGGACGGTGGGCAAGTGGGCAGCCCGTTCTGGTGCAATTCTGGGTGGAGGATAAGACCCCTAATAATAACCAAATGGACTTCTCCCCAACCTGGTGGGATGAGTTCTCTGCAAAATGAACACAATCTTATGGCAACAAAGAGCAACTCGCCGTGCTCCACACACAAAGCACTTTGGCTCTTGGGGGTGGCACTTGGGAGTCCATTTGACCTCAACATCTCTGGCCTGAACCATGTAGGTCTGGGCTTTCTAAACCTTCCATTTGTGGACTCTGTGAGCAGGGTGGCCTTCTAGATGTGAGGCCAACACCCTTCTATACTCATACTTACGTCACAAAAGGTGACAACTGACTGAGTGTGGAAGGGCAGGGGGTGGGGGGGAGGGGATGCAGCGCTTAGTCTGGGAAACGGGAGACGTGCGTCCCAGCGATGACCCCCCACTGCCGACCGCAAGCCTGGGTGAGCCCTGCCAGCCTGGTTCCCTGGGGCACTCAGGAGGCAAGAGCTCTGCTCTTTCCCTGGGGGTCTCAGCTCTTATCACCCCATCTTTCTTCCTGCCATGGATCCCTGTTATCAGTAGGCATTGTGGGAAGATGGTAAAAACAAGTGGGTTTCCCTTCTTTGGAACTTTTCTCCTTTTTGGCCCCTGAACCTCCTCTCATCCCTAGGGGCCCCAGCCAGGAGCTCCCAGGGGCACAGGAAGAGGTGGGCCTTCTCTTCCTTCCTCTTCGGAACCTGCCCCTCTCCGCGCCAACCTTTACCCCTTCCGGTTCTAACACGCCCGGGTCATGCAGGGAGGGCCACATGATGGTCTGTGACCTTGAGACTGACATGATGGATGGGCCTTGACCCCTGGCCTTCAGCACAGATTCTCATGAGGGAACCCAGCCCCTGCTCCCCTCCTTCCAGGCTCTGCCACGCAGCATCAGAGGAGCATTGCAGAGAGGAACGGGCCATGTCCCCCACTGCCTGACTTCGCAGAGTTGGGGAACCCATCAGCTGGGAGCAAAATCCTTCTCTTCTCATCCGTGACGATGGAATATCATACGAATTTCATCAAGATGTAAAACAAGAACCTACCACCACGACCGGTGAACCTGAGCCCCTCTCCCAACATAATGCACACAGATTCCTGAGCTCAGACGCGGGAGGGCAACCCGGGTAAGAGGTAGGTGAGTCCCGGCGCCCCGGGCTGCCACCGCCCGCCCTCTCCGCAGGCCAGCCCCCCGGGCCCACAGTTGGGGGAGCACTGACTGGGGAGGTAGGGCTGTGAGTTCTGACAGAAGTGGGTTGGATCACCTCGAGCAGAGAGCTTCTTTGTTCTCCCAGTCCCTCTGTTTGCTCATTTGCAAAAGAGGGGCCTGGCCTAGAACCTGCTCCAGTTTTGGGGGGCGGGGAAAAAGCTGTTTGTGGAGAGCCACCTGGTGTGGTTCCAGATGGGAGGGCCCAACCCTTACCAGCTCTGACTTCCTGGCCACCTGGGCCAGAGGAGTCAGTACTCCTGGGTGTCTGAAGTCATCCAGCATGGAAGCCATGTCACTGGGTGTCATGCACTCTGACCCTCCCAGCAGCCCAGGGGGAGGCAGGGTTGGTCCGAGTACCCAGCTTCGCATGCCGTGGACTCAGGGGCTTAGGGGTCAAGTGGCTGGCCCAGGATGGGGAGCCGGAAGTGAGGAGCAGGGCTTGCTGGGGCATCAGTGGGGGACAGCCTGCGAGGACCACAGCCCCAGGGGCCCACCGTGGAGCAGGGTGGTGCGTGTGGTGGGCTGGGCCCCAGGCCCAGGAGGAAGGCCTTGGAAAAGCAGAAGGCTTCTTTATTATTTAAAAAATGATTTCAATTAATTTTTTAAGGTAAACTCTATCCACAACATAGGGTTGAACGCACAACCCTGAGATCAAGGGTCGCATGCTCTACCTCCCAAGCCAGCCAGGTACCCCATCAGCATTTGTATTTTTTTTTAAGATTATTTATTTATTTATTTGAGAGAGAGAGAGCAGAGTGAGTAAAACAAGCGGGGGGGAGGGGCAGAGGGAGAGGGAGAAGCAAATTCCCTGCTGAGCAAGGAGCCAGGTGCTATGCGGATCTGGGGCTTGATCCCAGGACCCTGGGATCATGACTTGAGCTGAAGGCAGACACTTAACCAACTGAGCCACCCAGGCGCCCCAGCATCTGCCCAGGTGACTCGAATGTGCACCTAGGGCTGGAAAGCACCATGTTGTCCGATCCACTCCTTTCACCCGACCTGTGTACCCCCGCGCGTATCAGACAGGCCTGGGTTCCCATCCCAGCTCTACCAGGTACCAGCTGTCAGAGTGGCCTCATCTGACTTTGGCCCCAAAAGCTGGGGTATTTGGTGTTGAACCATGGCGCCACCCTGCCCGGCTGTGGGACTTGGAACAATTCACCTGTCAGCTTGCTCAGCCTGTCTGAGCCCCGGGGTCCTGATCTCCAATGTGAGGACACCCTTTGCACAGGGCAGATGAGAAGGTTGAGCCAAGGGGGGGCAGGCAGAGCACTGGGGCACGGGGGGCGTGGGCAGGGGTGGAGCCCCGTACTCCACAGATGAGGAGAACGAGGCCTCTGCTCTTTTCTTTTGGGGCACCAGGTGACTTCGGGTCAGAGCCGGGAGCACCCAGGTGGCTCACTGCCCTTTGGGTCTCGGGGGGGCAGTGGGGTGAGGGCTAGACTTTGATGTGTTCTAGGGGAGCCCCGGGCTTTGGAAGCAAACCAGCTCCTGATTTCCAATAGACTTTTTGGTTTTTTATTATTATTATTTTCTTTTTACCATTTTTTAAAAAAGATTTTATTTATTTAGACAAAGAGTGTGAGCAGGGGGAGGGGCACAGGGAGAAGGAGAGAGAAGCTCCAGCGGCTCTACACCCAGCACAGAGCTTGACGGAGGGCTTGATCTCACCACCCCAAGATCAAGACCTGAGTCGAAATCAAGAGTCAGGTGCTTGGGACGCCTGGGTGGCCCAGTAGGTTAAGCAGTTGCCTTCCGCTCAGGTCATGATCCAGGGGGCCTGGGATCGAGCCCGCTTCTCCCTCTCCCTCTGCCAGCCAGTCCCCTTACTTGTGCTCTCTCTCTCTCTCTGACAAATAAATAAATAAATAAATAAAATCTTAAAAAAAAAAAAAAGTTGGACACTTAACCAACTGAGCCACCCAGGTGCCCCTATTATTTTTTTCTTTTTCTTGAAAGTAGTATCTATTTATTGTAGAAAATATAGAAAATGCAGAAAATCATAGAGAAGCAAGGAAAAAAATCACAAAAACAAAACAAAACAAAACCCCCAAAGTACCAGATTTATAGCTAATCAAGTTTTCACTTCAGCACATTCCTTTCAAATTTCTTTCTGTGCAATTTTCTTGGTGGAGTTGTTTATACCATTAAGACAGTTGTGCGTGATATAAGTATTTTATATTACACATATTTTCCCACATCATTAAGGTTTTTATTCCCCCAAACATCTCTTTTTAAGGCCTCATAATCTTCCTACCAGGGACCCTGAATTCCATAACCATCGCCCTGTTGTTCATTAGATTGTTTTCATTTCCCCCATGACAACACGGCCACGAGATAACAGCTCTGTACATAAATCTTTCCCCCCACATTTCTACTTATTTCCTTAGGCCCCGTTCCCAGAAGGGAAATTACTGAGTAAAAGCAAACGAGCATTTTTCAAGCTACAGCTTCCAAGGTTGCTCTCCAGACACACCATGTCTCTCCCCCAGTCCCCCCCAACCCGGCCACTGTGGGTTCTGAGAATGTTCTCCAGTTGAGTAGCCATTTCTTGGATTTCTCATAAAGGTGAGCGACTGTTTTCACCTGTTTCCTAGTCATTTGCAGAAGGAGCTTTCGCAGGCCCTACCCCAAGACCGGGGTCACGCTGGGTGCGAAAGGGACACGGTAGCCCCCAACTCTTGTTGACAGCGGGGGACGTCAACAATGCCACAGCTCACCCCCCGCTGAGACCAGGGCCGACTCTGTCTGTGGTTTATCAGGGAATTTGGAATGAAGGGGGCGAAAGGCCAGGAACGGAGCCAAATGCCCCAGCCCGAGCAATGGCAGTCGTAAGGTCTTAGACCGGATATGATTCTGCTAGGTCTTTGAGGAGGAAGAGGCCTGGGCTGGAGGGCTGCCTGAGGGAGGAGGCAAGATCTGTTCAAGCTCTGGCAGCTACAGCGTCTCCAGGTGGGAGTCCCAGGCCTCCAGGTAGGCATCTCCAGGCCTCCCGAGGGCTTGGCTTTGCGTGAAGTCCTCAGCAGAACCCAGATGAGATTGTGCTCAGGAGTCCACCCACTTGCTCCCAGTCCTTACTCTCTTCTAGTTCTGGAGGTCAGAAGTCCAACATGAGTCTCAGGGACTAAAATCAAGGTGTCGGCAGGCTACATTCCTTCCTGAGGGCTCAGCGGTGAATCTGATCTTTGCCTTCTTTGGCTTCTGGGACTGCCTACAGTCCTTGCTTCCTGGCTGTGCCTCCAATCACTCCAGCCTCTCTGATGCTCCTGCCTCCTTCCTCTAAGGACTATCGTGATTACATTGGGGCCACCCAGATAATCCAGGATAATCTCCTCATCACACGATTCTTAATTCAACCACATCTGTAAACATCTGCAACATCAGGGAACATTCGCAGGTTCTGGGATTTAGAACATGGACGTTTTTTGGGGGGGCCTGGTTCAGCCTACCACACCCCCCCTCTCCCGCAGCTGTGGATGAGATGCCTTTCTTTGTGCCCGCACAGCTCCCAGAGATCTCCTCTTTGTAGGCACACCCACCTGTATGACTATTTCCTTGTCTGTCTCCCTTGGGAGGCTGAGCTGCAGGGGCTGGGCTATCCGATGTGCCCCTGGGTCCCCCCGGGCCTGGCACAGTGCCTGGCCTGCAGGCAGCGCTCACTGGATGTTTGTTAAGTGTATGAAAGGCTACCTATCTGGCTTCTTCAGTCACCCAAAGGCCGACGGCAAGGGGCCCAGCCTCAGGCAGCCTCTGCAAGCATCCCTCTTCCCCACCCCCCTCTACTCCCACGAGGCAGCGGCCCAGCGAGCCACCAGGTTGGGAGAAGTGCTTGAGCTAAGGTCTGGAAACAAGATCAAGGATGTTGTTGTAATTGGTGAGGCCGACAATTTGGGATGGCTGAAGCAGGAGACTCTGTGATGAGCAGGGGGGAGCAGGCACTAAATGAGGCAGGACAAGGTCTTATTCATGTTGGGGGGGGCTCAAATATGTGCAGGAGGCAGTCTGCCATGGGGGAGGACGTAGTTCCAGCCAGCTGGTGTTGAGAAGGCTGGAGACTCACAGGCCCACACTCGCACGCAGCCTCCCTCTGATGGGGCTGTCACCGAGGCAACAGATGAAGCTGGTTGCCCAGCAACGAGGCCCACCTCCTTCATCCCTCTTATGGCCATTTCTGCCCCCTTGGGAGCTTTGTGCCCTTTCTAGATTGCTCCGGTGTTAAGATGGAACCAGATTCCCTCTGTGTCCAAATCCCAAGGGTGGGAGAGGAAAGGGGCTGGTTTTGTGATTGGTGTGCTCGGGGTCGTGGATTTGGCATTGGGGGAAAGGTGGGCTGAGTCTGCCTAGGGGAGGAGAGGGGAACAGGGGGCATTTCAGCCTCAGTCTTTCCTGGGTGTTTTTCTGTTTCCATTTCTATTAAAATGAAGCAAGGAGAACACCAGCCTGGGAGTCAGGAGACTTAGTGTCATGGCCTAGATCTGCTTCTCACTTGCTGAGTGTTTTGAGCAAAGGACTTCTCCTTGGTTCTGTTTCTCCACCTTTAAGAGGAAGGTTTAAGCCAGGGGATCCCCAAGGTCCTTTGTGGGCCTGACATTCTTTGATTCCAGAACCTCAGGGGCAAAGACGGAGCAGACCCCAGGCCCCACATTCCAGCCAGGTCTCTGTACCGCTGTCCCCTCCCCTGATCCGCCCAAGTCCACAGCAGCTGGTCTTGGTCTACGGGAGGGAGAAGGAAGGAGAGCCACTTGGCTCTGGGCCTTAAATTCACAAAGGGCCCCAAATCTAGACTTTAGATGTCATACCAGAGAAGTTATAGTCACTGTCATGTTTTATAAGTGGAAACTGTTAATCTGGAATCGTAAGTATTTAAAACAAGATGCTGTCTTTGTAACTCTCGTCGCCACTCTTCATTTTTCAAACAGACCGTGGTCCTTGGAAATGGAAATGGCCCAGGCCTCCATTCCCCCTGTGAGGGCCCTGTGTCCCTGGCTTCAGGGGCTCAGCTCCTCAGCATCCCTCCCAGGGGCTCTGGGGGTCTGGGCTGCCTGGAAATGATGCAGGACCCTCAGAGGGAGTGAAGTGGCTGGTCAAGGCCCAGGTCTGTTGGGGGGGTGCAGTGGGGGCTACCGTTGAGGAGAAAAAGAGACTAGGGAGGCAGAGCTGGGGGAGGGCCTATCTCTGCTCGCTCTGGCCCTAGAGCTGGAAACAAGAGCCAGGGACAGCAAGCTGTGTGCACAGCCCATGTGGGGACCTGGGGCTAAGGGTCTCCAAAGGGAGATGAGCCACCTTTAGTGCCAGGTTGTGCCTTGAGCCTGCCAGGAGAGCCCCTGGGGGTCATTTGCCGGGTCTCTCAGCTCCCAAACCCTGAGAGTGAGGTACTTGGTTGCTTGGGCTGAGGATCAGGCACTCACATGGAATGGGTCCCTGGAGGGCAGAGGGCATCCGGGCTCTGTGCCCTCTGAGCTGCCTTTCAGGTCATGCCTTAGTTTTTCCCAACTGCACTCTTCCCCACCCACCATTGGCCAATGACCCTTGAGAAAGGCTGGGTGAGGAACTCTGTGCAGGGTCATCCAAGGGGTGGGCAGCCTGGGTCCTCCTCCCCTGGAGAGTCAGGCACCACTTCCCCACGCAGACACACACCCAACAAGGCTTGGGGAAGCCGGTCATCCCAACCTCTCCATCAGGTTCTGCCACACCTCTGCGGGGGTGGGGTGGGGATGGTGCTGGGGGGTGGCCTGATGGTGGCAGGGAGACTGGAGGTGTGGGCAGAATAAGGCGGCTCCCTCTGGGGCATGGGTGGAGCTCTGGTTGTCATGACTACAGGGGCATGCCCTCTTTAGCCTCAGAGCCCGTCTCTGGAAAATGAGGGAGCTGGACTCTCCAGAACCCCTTCAATCTCAGTGCGCTCTGGCTCCAAAGGGGACCCCCCCCCCCCCCCCCCCCCCCCCGCCGCTGGAGAAAACCTTTCCACCAGCCGCTGGGAGATTAGCTCTGAGACAGCACCACCTGCTGGCCCTTCTGGGTATGACGCCCATCCCTTCTCAGGCAGCCCTGGAATCCTAGAACTCTGTCTTTATATTAAAATGTACCTGTTGAGCCTTACTTTGCCTGCATCAATAAATTATTCAAGATAGGTGCTATCAAGTTCCAGTTTTATGGATTATGAAACTGAGCTTCAGAAAGGTTAAATAAGTTGTGTAAGTTGGTCAAGGGCAGGGATGAAATTCAATGCTGCCGTCTGGCTCTATAGCCCCTCACATCACTACCTACCTCCCCCAAAGGGGAGTTTCCAGAAGGGGTCCTAGGCCCAGGCTGAGTGACTTGCCAAACCACTGGGCAAGTCAGTGACAAGTTAGGAAGGAACCTAAATCAATAAGAAGGAGCATTCCATCCCACGGGGCTCCTCCAAGCTTATTTGGGGCTTGTCTGAGCGACTCTGCATTTTCATGCTGGCAAGAAAGAAGCAGCTTCAAATCTACCTCAGGCAAGCAGTGTTCTTCATAGAGAACTCCCAGCTCCAACCACACCTGGGGCCTGGCAGTTCGCCTATCGATCTCCTGGCCGACTCTACCTGCTCTCAGGTGCGGAAAACCTAACAAGTGTAGTCTGCCCCGCCCCCCCTCGGGAAGAAGCAATCAAGGAGCTGAGCAAGACAGAGAGAGGCTAAGTGACTTGCTTGTCACCAGAAGTTCCACAGTAGTGGCCCAATTTCCAGCTCAGGGCTTTTCGAATTCCCTCCTCCCAGGGACCCCTTCGCCCTGGAGCACCCCCACCCCAATAAGGCCCCAGCTGGCTCGGCTGAAGGCTGGCCAAGGGCCAGAATGGGAACAGAAGGGAAGGAACTGGAAGTCCTTGCCCAAGACAGCAGGAGGTTTTGGTGCCACAAAAGCAGACGCATTAAAACAACCTGCTAACCTATCAACAAACCTATTAAAAGAGACCAAAAACCAAGTGTGGGAGGTCCAGATTTAAAAAATGCTAGAAAGGAAGATTGACAGATTAAAAAGTGCAACCAGACTCTCAGGGGGCTGCACACTGCACACAGCAAGATGCCCTCGGTAGGGTGACATCACAGACCCACTTCCAGGGACAGAGCTATATATATGTCTGGTGCGTATATATATCCCAGACCAACATACTGAAAGTGGTTATTTCTGGGTTGTAGGTTTGTAAGTGATTTTTTGTCTCCTAGATTTTATGTATTTTCTAATTTTTCTGCAAAGAATTTGTATTGTTCATGTAACAGGACAAAAAAAATGATTTGGAAAAGGAAGCATGGAGGAGAATGTCTTTATGATTTGAAGAAGGAGAGGAATTTCTTTAACAAACTACGAAAAGCATAAACCAATAAAAAAAGATTAGTAAATCAGACTAAAAATACTTGCTATTCATATAATAAACAAGGGATTAGGATATGCTATAGGAAGAACTCTTGGCAATCATTTAGGGTAAATAATCCAAGATAAAAATGGGCTAAGTAAATACGAGAGGCATTTTGCAGATGAGGACATCCAAGTCATCAATAAACACATGAAAAGGTGTTCAGCCTCACTGGTTGAAACGTTTCCCATTCATCACAGTGGC